GATGCTTCTCTCTCATTGATGTTTCTAACTCTCTGTCCCTCTCCCTTCCTCTCTGTAAAAAATCAATAAAATATATTTTTAAAAAATTAGTGGTGGGTTATTTATGTTTGTGTGCTAGTTTTAGAGATAAGTGACAAATAGGGCAGGCACAAAGGAACACAACGTGAAGTGCCAATGCTATCACATCATTAATGTCTGAGCTCTTTCATTAGTTTATTTTGCTTATTACCCCATTCCAAAAATGGCAATGTTAAGTATCTTCCCCTTTCCTCAAAACTTTTTAAAATTTGATTTTGTTTAATTGGTACCCTCAATGGTATCTCCTGGTAGGACTCACTGCATTTACCTCAGTCATTCTGTGATGTAGCGAGGAAGCATTATGATCCCAAAGGTGCTATTTAATGTCCTCTGATTATGCACAGGAACAGCCTAATTTTTCGATTCTTTTGTAGGCGAGGAAGCTGTGATAAAAATGTTTTGGCTTTGTAGGAAAGAGGGCAGAAAACTGAACAGATCAGAATAACTTTTACCTGATAAAGGGTAGGTCATAAAAACAGATTGCTGTCTTAAATATTTTTTCATTATTAGCCTGGCTGGCATGGCTCAGTGGTTGAGTGTCAACCTATGAACCAGGAGGTCACGGTTCCATTCCCTGTCAGGGCTATTTTATTAAAATATATTTTTATTGATTCCAGATCAGAAGGGAGAGGGAGAGAAACATCAATGATGAGTGAGAATCATTGATCGGCTGCCTCCTGCACACCCCCCACTAGGGATCACACCTGCATCTCAGTCATGTGCCCTGACCAGGAATTGAACCGTGATCTCTTGGTCTCAGGCATGTGCCCTGACCAGGAATTGAACCGTGATCTCATGGTTCATAGGTCGACACTCAACCACTGAGCAACACTGACTGGGCATTTTTATTGATTTTAATGTACAAAGTTTGTGTAGAGATTTTCAAATGGCAAAACGGTCATTAATCTTTAAGTTTGGAATTACCAAAACAGAAAACAAAACTGTACACTTGTTCCTGAATCTTTAGTTCTCTAGTGTTCTATTAGATAACAATTAGAAATTAAACTTTTAATTATAGGGTATAAATAAGGGAACTCTGGATGTATTTTAGATGCCCATCAATTGAAATTGCCTCTTTTTGCCAGAATACAACATAAGATTTGTGGCTATTTTCTTTTTTTTAAATTAAATCTTTATTGTTCAGATTATTACATTGGTTCCTCTTTTTTCCCACCATAACTCCCCTCCACCCAGTTCCCACCCCACCCTTCGCCCTCACTCCCCACCCACTGTCCTCATCCATAGGTGCACGATTATTGTCCAATCTCTTCCC